GCATCAAGATGGCCCTAAGACGGCCTAAGATAGCCCCAAGAGGGGCCCAAGAGGCACCCCAAAGACGGCCCCAAGAGCGCCCAAGAGCGCTCCAAGAGCGGGCCAAGAGGGCCCCAAGACAGAAGTTTTGAGCCTCCGAGGGGGCGACGGGAATTTAGAACCCCCCTATGTTTGAACAATGGTGCCCAAGACGGCCCAAAGAGGCCTCCCAGACCCCTCCAACGAGCCCCAAGAGGGCTCCATGACCCCCGAAGAGAGCCCCAAGAAGGCTCCAAGAGGACCCCAAGAGGGCCCCAAGATGGCGCCCAAATGGCAGTACGAGTCTTCGAAGAACCCCGCAAAACGACATATCCCCAAAGCCCGGCTTCTCGTCCTCCTTGGCATCGTCCGTTCCTTCATTGCTTATTTCCTGTCGCCTCCCTGCGCCTCTTCATCCTCCTCGCGCCGCGTTCCTCCTGTTCCTCCTCCTCTTCCCATCCTCCTTAAGTGTTTTTCCTCCTCCTCCTCCTCCTCATCATCATCATCATCATCATCAGCAGCATCATCAGCATCATCAGCATCATCATCATCATCATCATCATCATCATCATCATCATCATCATCATCATCATCATCCTCCTCCTCCTCCTCCTCCTCCTCCTCCTCCTCCTCCTCCTCGTCCTCCTGCTCCTACTCCTCCTCTTACCCCCAAGATGGTCCTAGGCATCACCAGCACCAGCAGCACCAACATCAACACCAGCAGCAGCGGTACAAGAAGCACAAACTACAACGACAACACCAACGATACCATCAGCTACAGGACCACCGACACCCTTCGCTACAAGAGATCTCCCAACTCACTGGTGCTGTCAATCAAGCCACCATGGTAAGACGCCAAAGACGTTTACCATAGGAAACCTCACGGCGCATCTTGCACGAATTCCAATATTAAGCTTCAGTGGGGAAAGCTATGTTTGATCCTGGCTTTTCTGGCCCAGGGTACGGACCCCCAAGTTTTGAAAGCATCAATGCCATTGCGCACTGCTGTGTCTATGTTCAGCTTCTGCGCCCCTTCCAACACGCTCCCAAGGTGGTTGCGAAACCTCGAGCTCCCAAGGCGGTTGTGCAACTGCGTGCTCCCGGCGTCACAAGAAGGCCTCGGACATGCCCCAAGAGAACCCAAGAGAGCTCCAGATGGCGCCAAGACGGCATTGGCCTGGGAGTCTACTGAATGGCGCCCGCGCGCGCACAACTTACGAATACAGAGCTCAGGCAACGCCGAAGCGACGTCACCAATCCCAAGACTTGAGCGTAGACGCTTGCGGGATCGGCAAAGCGACAGCGATATTGTTCATGCTCCTCCTCCGCTTTCGATGGCCCCAGTAGCAGTACCACCAGCAGCAGGAGCACCACAAGCAGCAGCGCCAGCATCTGCACCAGCAACAGCAGCAGCAGCATCAACGGCACGAGCATCGGAAGCAGCATCAGCAGCAGCACTGGCAGCAGCACCAGCGCCTGAGCAATTTCAAAACGCACGCGAGCTTAAGATACAAATCAGTGCAAGAACTAAGATCAAGGATGTCAATCGAAATACAAGTCTATTCTGCGCAACACTGGCGTCGGATCGTAGATACAGCAACCTGCGCCAGACACGCCTCCCACAGGGAACACCATGGCGCATCTGGCACTGACTTCTCTCCTAAACTTCACTGCGCGAAGCTATTTGCGGTCCTTGCTTTCTGGCCCCAAGGTACTGCCCACCCAGTTTGGACGCTTCCACAACGGCTGTGCGACCGCGTGCTTCCAGGCGTCCCTCATTGAACAACTCACCTGCTAATAGTTTCTGGATGGGCGGGTGTGCATGTTTTTTTGGTCGCGGCCGCGCAGCAGAGGGCAGGCGGCGAGAGGGGGTCCGGGGCACGGGCCAACCGAATTAGCTACTAAGCGCCACGCAAGCTGGCCGGGGCCAGCACTCAGAAGCGGCAGCTGAGGTGCAGCAGCGGCTGGTGGGGCTGACTGGCTGGTCTGCAAAGCCCAGGGAAGCTGATGCATCTTGCATTCCTGAGGCAGGGGTGCCAGAGAATTAAGAACTGCACGCCGTGACGCCAGTCCACCACGGTGCACGGGCCATGCCGCGTACTGAGGATAGCTGGTGGGCATGTTTTTGTTTCGGTCGCGGCCGCAAGCGAAGAGGCAGGCGGCGGGCAGGGAGTCCGGGCAAACGGGCAAGCCGAATTAGCTACAGAAGGCACAAGCCGGCCGGCCCACTCACAAAGCAGCCGCGAAGCTGAAAGGGGAGCTGACGGCGGGGGGCATCCTGGGAGCTCGAGCGCGTGCACAGGACAAAATGTCGAGGAATTCGGCGCCTGCCATTGGCACGACCCACACAGTATCGTCGTGAATCAGAGTAACCGAGTCCGTCGTTCTGAGTGGGGGCAAGCGCGAGGCCCGTGGAGCGAGTCGCCGGTGGGGCGCCAAGCTCCAAACGCCATTGACGACGTGAGCTAGCCAGGGGGGCTGAGCTGTCGCGGACCGTGAAGCAACGCAAATTGCTGAAAGCTGATGGTGAGCCTGGGGTGCTGCAGCTGCTGCGGAAGACTGAACCACTCCGTGGCGATATCAACACCCGCCAGTCCACCCAACAGTGCAAGGGGGAGCCAAGCGACCGTGAGCCACGCAGTGCGTAGCGGCACGGCGTCAAGCCTCAGAGTGAGAGGGGAAGACCAGCTGCCGTGGTGAGCATCGCCAGCGGGGTAGGGGTGTAAGGGGGAGCTGCATTGGTGGTAGTGCTGCCTCCTGAAGTACGCCAAACTGAACCAGGGACAAGCATATCCACAAGTATACAAAGCTGGCTGTACCTCCCAGGGCACGTGGCGCATGTGCGAGCAAAGTGTACCGTGAGCTGCGCTGGGGCAGACACGAGAGCCAACGGACGCCATGTCCTGACCCTGCCCGCCGCTTTCGCACTTCCTCGCAAGACTCGGGTTCGTCCACCAACACACACCACGTGAGCCTCCAGGGTCGCAGCTAACCGCCGCTGAAAGTGGGGAGCCATACCACGGACAGCGAGGGACAAGGGCGGCCCTGGGAGGGGGGGCAACAACACCGGCGTCTGTCGGTACGCCTGGCGGGCCCCGGGGCCAAGGGCGGGGGACACCCGCCTGGCCCGAGAGGGGAGAGGCGAGGGGAAGCAACGCCCCGCCCCTCGGCCGGGCCCCGAACCCGTGGGTCAGGGGACATGGTCATTCTCTTGGGTCCTCCAGGGTCGCAGCTAACCGCCGCTCAAGAGCAATAAGTATCGATGGCATGCGCGAAGCGTCAAGAATTCAACCTGGGAGCCCTTCCTGCCCGTAAGGCCCCGTCACTCAGGGCCCCACCTTTGAACCGCCGCCCGGCTGTTTCTGGAAAACCGAAGGGTACCGGCCGACCCGAACCGGGCCGGGCTGGTTGTTTTTGACTACCTACCAGACCACCCCAACCCAACCCGAAGACCCGAATTTCGGGTTGGGGGGGGTATGGGCTCCATATGTGTTCTTTCGAGGTTCCTGGACCCCCCCCCCCCACTAGAAATCGAGGGTAAATCTGAGCCTTCGGGCTGGGTTGGGGTGGTTTGGTGGGTGGTGAGTTTTTCGCGGCGCCGGCCGGACCGGACCGAACCTTCGGGTGGGCCCCACGCGGAGTGGTGACCACACCGCGTGGCGAGCCAGTGGGGACTCGGGGTCACCGCACGGCGTCGGGGCTCGGGCAACCAGGGCCCGCGAGGTCCCCAGGCCGTGCGGTGACGGGCCGCGCGGTGAGGTCTCCTGGGATTTCGAGGCCACGGCGCGGTCCGTGACCACATGGTGCTGGGCCCCCCGAAACCTGTCGCTTTCTCTTCGCCCAGCACCGAGCAGGAGCGAACCTCCAGCACCGCCGAACTGAACTGGACCGGTCGTCTTCTTCGCCCTGCGCCTCTCAGGCAGCTCTGCCTCCACGCAGCGCCGCGGCCTGGGCGCGCCGGACAGCCATCTCCAAGCGCGCTGGTCCTAAAGACTAGTTCCCCAGAGACCTCGAAGAAGGCGGAGAGGGCGGAAACGGTTTTTCGGCAGCCGATGCTGCCCAGCAGCGCCGCCCCTTGCGCAGTGGCCTTGGCCTCCAGGCTCTAGATGAAGGGCGACGCACAGGACGCCCACAGGGGGGAGAGAGAAGAGGTACCCATCGGTCGGAGGAAGCAGGTAGGAAGGCGCCTAAAAACGACCAGGGTGTAAGAGGTCCATGGACTCAAGGCTGGCTGGGCGCACCCTCATCGGAGGGAAACTTCTTGTCACCCTGGAAGATGCTCCATCCCCCTCGAGGGGCCACGAGACAGGAGGCGCGCCACAGATCAGAATAGGCCATCTTCATCTGTGTCGGGGACCTCGTCGCTGCGAATGGCCGATCGGCCAAGCTTGCAAGCCGTTTCTCTGCTCAGGCCAAAACACTGGGAAGCGTCTGTCAAATGCGGGGGGTAAAAACACACCTGTCAACACGTCCCCTTTCCGCCACCCAACGCCTGGAAGTAGGAGAAGGAGGAGGAGGAGGAGGAGGAGGAGGACGAGGAGGAGAGGGAGGGGGGAGGGGGGAGTAAATGTAGGCAACATCCTGTGGGTCTTAACCCTGCAGGTCAGATTTCTGAAAAACCTGTTTGGGGTCAGAATTGAAGAATGCCCGCAGCCAAATGAACCCCAGCGGTGGTGTCCGATACCCCAGCGTCGATTGAATCCTCCGCAGGGATAGGGTTCGCAAGCGGTCGCAGAAAACGAAGAGGCAAGGAGAAGGGAAGGACAAGGAGCAGGGAAGGGCGAGGGGAAGGGGGAGGAGAAGGACGACGAGGAGGACGACGAGGAGAGGAGGAGGAGGAGAAGGACGACGAGGAGGAGGACGACGAGGAGGACGACGAGGAGAGGAGGAGGAGGAGGAGGAGGAGGAGGAGGAGAAGGAGAGGAGGAGGGGAGAGGGGAGTCCCTGGATTGAGGGTGGGCGTGGAGGAGGAGAATATGTGTGTCCTCCGGGAAGTCAAAGTCCAACATCTCGCAGAACGGCGGGGCGGAGTCGGGCGCGAGTGTCCGCTCGGCGGCCTGGACCACGAGGTGGAAGCGCGTGATGTCGGTCATCGTCTTGTGAGTAAACGCGGCCTTTGCGCCGCCGCCTGTCCAAGGAAAAAACGCAATGACTGATGCCCGGAGACCACACGGAGGCGCCGTCGCCACGGCTGGACCTGCCCCGCTGTCTTGGTCAGGGCGTGCCCTGGAAGAGGCCTGGGGGGGAGCGGTGTCCCCAGGCCTCCTCCGACGTCGCGAGCTGCGAGCAGCGTGACCCCCAAATGTCTCGACCCCCTCTCCAGGACCAGCTCTGTATCCCGAGTCGTTTGTTGGCGGCCACGGGGTGCAGCGAGGGCCCCAGAGGCCAAAACCAACTGTGCCAAGAATGGCGCAGCGAGGCAAAGGGTTATGGTTTAGATGTGGTCCACTGCGCCCTGGAGCCCAGTTCAGAAGGGGACCTGGCGGAACTACCTTTGCGGAGCGGCACAAAGCAAAAGCAACACATTTCCACACAAATGCATCCCGCGGGCGCCCGCTCGCGCAAAATGTCTCTCTCTCTCTCTCTCACACACACACACACACACACACACGCACACACGCACACGCACATGCACACGCACACGCACACGCACACGCACACGCACACGCACACGCACACGCACACGCACACGAACACACACACACACACACACGAACACACACACACACACACGCACAAGCACACGCACACGCACACGCACACGCACTCACACACACACACACACACCCACACACACACACACACACACACACCACACACACACACACCACACACACACACCACACACAAAAAAAATAGAAAAACAAAAAAAAAAAAAAAAAAAAAAAAAGCTTGCGTCGGCGGCTAGGCAGAGGGACTGCTCCAGCGATGTGGCGTTAGTGGGCCGAAGAAGACGCAAATTAAGCCGCACGGCGCGCGGGAGGAGAGAGGAGGCCCGGCGCGGGCGGGAGGGAGAGGAAGCCGGGGCCGCTCAGAGCAGGGCCAGGCCGCGGCGGGGTGGGCCCTGGAGCACCCAAAGAGGGCCCTAAGTCGGCCCAGAGAGGCCCCAAAGACGGCTTCCGACGGCGTCAGAAGGGCCAGGAGCCAATCAAGACGGCCCAAGATGGATCTAAGATGGCTCAAGACGGTCAAACCGGCCTCCAAAAGGGCGCCGACGGCCGAAGAGGCCAAAATCATTGATATCCCGTAGGTTTTTGAAGGATGTTGGCAGTTGCTTCTTTTCGGCAGTCCGACGACCCGAGACGGCCCGAGAGCCCCCAAAAATCGTCCCGAGATCGCCCAAGAGGCCTCCAAGATGGCCCCAGAAGGGCCCAAGAAGCCCCCAAAACGGCCCCAAGAGGGCCCTCCTCCTCATCCTCCTCCTCATCCTCCTCCTCCTCGGCCCAAGAGGCCTCCAAGACGTCCAAGATGGCCTCCGAGGCGGCCCTCGGAGCACCCCACGAGTGCCCCCAGGTCGGCCTAGAGAGGTCCCAAGGACTGCGTCCGACGGCGTCCGACGGGGGAAAGCCCCAAGACTGCCAAAGAGGCCCCCGAGAAGCCCTCAAAGGCCCCGAAGAGGCCCAAGGAGGCTCCCAAGGTGCCTCCAAGAAGCTCCCAGGAAGCCCCCAGGAGGCTCCAAGAGTGGCCCCAGAGGCTCCCAAGTTGTCCTTTCCTCCTCCTCTTCCTCCTCCTGATCTTCCCCGCCATTCTCCCCCAAGTGTTCCCCGAAGGGTTTCCACAACGGCTGGGGGAGCACGTGGTCCGATAGCTAGGCAGAGCTCTTACCACAACGCTCGGCCACGTGGGCGATTCCAGAAGGCAGGAGACGGCGGTACTTCGCCGTAGGCGTCTTCGATATGACAGCGTCCAAAAACCATGGCTTGGAAGTTTGGGAAGAAATGGAAAAGGGTAATCACGTGCATGCGGGCCCGAGGATGGCGCACCCCCCAGGCTGGAATCCTGGACGAATAGCAGGGCACGGACGTCGCAGGAGGCCCTCAGAGTGCGGACCCAACATGGCCCTGGGAGCGCGGAGCCGGCGCAGTTCGCGAGGGATCGTGGTGGCCATGGGAGCGCGCGGACCCAGCTTAGCTCATATCGTGGCACCGGGAGTGCGGACGCAGCACGATCTGCAAGGGATCGTGGCCTTGAGAGCGCGGACCTCGTGCAATTTGCCAAGGATCGGACAGGGATGGCACGGGCCCAGCGCAATTCACGAGGGATCGTGGCACTGGAAGGGCGGGCCAGCGTAATCTACTGGGGATCGTGGCACCGGGAGCGCGGAGCCAGTGTAATTTAGTGGGGATCGTGGCGCTGTGACTGCGGACTGGCGCAATGTACCAGAGATCGTGGCGCTGGGAGCGCAGAGCCAGTATAATTAAAAGCGTCGTGGCCCTTGGAGCGCGGATCCAGCATGATTTATGACGGATCGCGGGGGGGGCAAGAATCCCTGGACCCCTCTCAGGACGGTTTCGCTTGGGGCTCGTCTCGGTCCGTACCCTTTCGGTTCGTCCTGTCTCAGTTTCTTCCATCTCGGTTCGTCGCGTTTGCATTCGCCCCCCCTCCATTCTTTCCAGTTTGGGACTGAATCGGATCTTGACCTCGCGCTGCTTGAGCGCCCCCGCACGTTTCGCCTGCAACCAGCTAGGGGCGAGCCAGGCGTCCAGGCGACTCGAGCTGAAAATACAGATCAGTTCGGCCAGTGTTCGGACACCAAGGTCGACTTGATCCACAACGCAACAGAATACAACACAGCTTCACACACCATGAAACAGCACAGTTGAGCACAGCACGGCACAGCGCAGCACAGCATAATATAGCCCCTGGCACGGCATCATACCAGTCGAGATCTTCAGCCGCGTCATTGTCTAGAGCCCAGCTTAGCTGTATTCATCGTCGATCCTCGTTTTCATACCTGCCAATCCCTTTCAGGGCTCGTGGGTCGACAATGCTTCCCCAGACCCACAAAAGAAACATTGCTTCTCACGGCACGAGGAGAGATGGGTCGGGATATTTTTGTTCCCCCAGCCTTCTGCCGGCGTGACGCCGACAGCGATATCGACGGGCCTGTAGTCTTCCATCACGAGGACCTCCATCGTGAGGCCAGCGGGGTCGCAGAGGCGAATGTCTGCGGGGACTGAACTCTGAAAGAAGCGGAGCACCTCGTCGAAGAGGACGCTGGCCTTGAGGGTAAAAATTTTCAAACCAAGGCCTCCGACGGACGATTCCTTTCTCAGTCCTGACGGTCTACCCGATGTCGGCCTCTGTGGGCCGTCCTCGGGCCCGGGCACGGGCACAAGCGACGCCGCGACGAAAAACTGCCCACGGGGAAGGGGTCGGGGCCTCTGAGGCGCGCGGATGGAGAAAAGCCCATGTTCGGATGCCTGGCAGCATAAACTCACCATCGCTCTGACGGTCTGACGTGCATTTCCCGTGTTTGTCCGGCTTCGCGCATGTTGTTTTTCGTTGCTCGATGATCAAGGATGCTCCCCGATGGCCCCCGCCGAGAAAAAATCCACACGTCCGAGCGATGCCAAGCAAACTTTCGAAGATCCACGCCGATTTCCGGGGCCGATGCCGGACACCCCCTCCCCTCCCCATCCCCGAGCCCAGGGCGTGCATACGCGTCGGACGGGGTCGGGGACGGGGAGCGATCGCAGAGGGGCCTGGGACGCTCTCAGAGCGTTCCAGAGCGCTCTGACACGGCCGCGGTGCCCGACAGGTCCTCCAGAAGCGCTGTATCTCAGAGGCCTCCGCTTCGTCGGGGCCACGCCCGTGCGCCGCCCCTTGGCGCGTTCCGCGCGCAGGGGGGGGGCCCGTCGCCGACCACGAGACGTGCTGCCGCAGCTTTTTGTTGCCACTTGCGCGTCGCCTCGACGGGGGCGCGGAGGGCGTGCTGTGCCCGGAGGGCGCCGGGCCGCACCGAGGCTGCGCAGCCCTTGGCCTGGCGGCAACCGAGCAGAGCTGGCACGCAAGTGGCCCGAGGCAGGACGGCGGCGGCGGGGGCGAGGGCGGGGGCGAGGACGGAGGACGACGACGCGAACAACGACGGCGACGACGGCGACGACGGCGACGACGGAGGCGAAGGCGAAGGCGAAGGCGAAGGCAAAGACGAAGACGAAGACGAAGACGAAGACGAAGACGGCGGCGGCGGGGAGGCGGCGGTGGCGAGAGCGAACACAGGGCCGAGGGCTTGGGACTTCGGGGCATAGGGTTAGGTCGGGCGTGTCCCTCTACAGGCGCCGCCTGCACGGCAGCACGAGAGCGAGCATCGCACGCGCGCACGCGGTCCGATCGCGAGACATCGAACAGCACCCCGGAGAGCACCGCAAGCATGAAGCTGAAGAAAGCCCACCCCTCCGGGCCATCACGCGCGGCGCCTTGCAAACTCCCGGGGGGGGGGATGCTGGAATAACGACCCACCAAGCACAAGCCTGCTCCCAGCGCCCTGCGACCTTCACGCGCAAAGCGAAATCTATTCCGCCCCCCCTCCCACCCCCCCTGGGAACTGACCCAAATACTGTCAGAGATTGCGACGTACTCGACCCTGCGAGTACGGCCTCGCGGCCGGGCGCCGCCCAACGCCAGCGCGCCCTGAGAAAGAGGGCAGAAAGATTGGCAGCGCCCACTCATCTGTTTGCTACCTGGCTCGTCATGCCCAACGGCCGCCTCGCTGCCCACGGCCCCTGATACGACGACGCCCACCCCCGCTGGCATCGACGCACGAGATGCGTGCGTCTGCGCCACGACGCAGCGCGGGCATGAGATGCGCAACCGTTACCCACCATAGCTGCACGCGGGCAGACCCGCCTGGGCCACGATCGCGCACGCTTGGAACGCAAGCAACCATCACATTGCACGGCATGCGCGGCGCGCGCATGGCAAAAATAGGGCGAGGCGGCCCCCGGCGCTGCGCACAGCACAACGCGAGCGATAAGCATCGCCCGTCGGCGCAAGCAATGGCCGCTCTGACCCAGAAAGCACAGCCGTTTTGTCCTCGAAGGTTTCCCGATGACAACAATAAATAAGAATTGCCCACAAATTCTGAAGTGACCACGCCTAACCAGGCCCCCGTCGCATCCGCGCGTAAAAACCCACGTCGTTCGAGATGCGCCCCCAATTGTCTGCGTCGCCCCGTTGGTAGACCACGGCATTGGCCTTCAGAAGCACCTGCCGCCCGCGGGACCTGGGAGGTCCACGGCGGGGTCTCTGCCGACGCTGCCCAGAGCTCGACCCCAGTCAGCAGCGCACTCGGCGCTGGCGGGCCTTCTGGGGGGCAGTCTCGGAATCTCACCCGCGCGGGCAGCTGAGCTCGCGCGGGGCGCCCGCGCGGCGGAAATCGCGCGGCGCGAGCCGCATCGGAAATATTAACACGGCCCAGACTCACGGAAGCACGCGCGCCTGTCGCGGCAAATCACGCACAGAGCGCCGCACTTTGGACGGCGCGCCCGCGCAAACCTCACGCGACGCCGGCCGCGCTGCAGCGTCAACCAGTCGGTTCCACGCGCGACCGCCGCGACCAGCAACGCGCGCCCAAATCAGGCGCGCAGCATGCGAGCGGGCACCTGCACATGCGCATCCAATCGGATCTTTGACTCCCCGAGAGCCCCCGCCGCGCGCCCCAGCTGCGCCGCTCGCACAGCATCAGCGCTGCCGCTATGAAACTCGACTTCGCAGCTGCGGAAATCCGGCTCTGTGATAAACCACTTCACCGCCCCACATGCGGCTTCAAGCTCGGCAGAGGCGGAGAGCACGAAGGCGGCAGACGTCCCCGACCCCCGCGAGAGCCCTGGCCCGAGACCCCACCAGCCACAGGCGCGCGTCATTCCTGACAAGAACGCAAGCGCGCCCAGGCTGGAACAGCGGGGTCGACATCCGCGCGGCGAGAGGGCCCCCTGCTGAGCCATCGGTAAAGATGTGAATCGTCGTCGGGAGTTCTGCGCCGACTTGTACTGAGAGCCCAGCCAGACCCGGATCGCGGCCGAACGCCGAAAGAGGCGTGCGAGAGGATGTCGTCACATAGGCCGCCTGGCCAAAGCGCGGCAGAAAAAAAATGCAACGCATGACCACCATCTCGAAGTGGACTGCCAGCAGCACCTTCCGCGGCCGCGCCTGAAGAAGCCACGCCCGCTGCCAGACTTCGAGCAGGCGTCGGGGGCCCCGAGTTCATCAGCAAAAAACTCGTTGATCTGGCTCTGCCTGTCGGGGGGCTTCGCCGTCCAAGCTGACGGAGGGCAGATCGCCATGCTCGCCCACCTGCTGGGCGACCCACCTTGGAGAAAGCCCCCGCGACGCGGGCCTCAGCCTGTTCATTGAACTTCAGCAGGCTCTGTTGGACTTCCCTTGGAAGCACTGGCCTTGGACGGCTCGGCCCCCGTGCTGGAGCCCGCGGGCGGCGATCCCGTTCCCTCGGGAGACGTTCCCGCTGCTGCCTCCGCTAGGATGGAAGGCGACGCTGGCAGGCCGCGAGCGCCATCTGGCGCTGCTGGTGGACCAGGCGCTGCAACGGGCTGCTGGTCAGCTGGCGGAACTGAGGCCTGCTGCACTCAAACTGGCGGCGGTGATGGCGCCGAGGGCTACTGCGCCGGCCGCGGCAGGACCGCGCGCGCAAGGCTGATCTGGACTGGGGCCGTCTGCCCCGCCAGCTGCATGCGCTGGGTGACCGTCGTGGCGCTGTTGGCCTGCACTGCTGCAAGCGTGGCCGGCTGGCGTCGCCGCATCTGCCGAAGTAGGCATTGCTGGGGGTGCCTGCGAGGTGGCCGCTGCTCCTCCTGCTGCTGAAACCTCCTCGCCACACCTGTCATGTCGTCATCCGTTTCCTCGTCGCCATCGCTGGAGATCTGTTCCTCCTTGACCGTCTCCTTGGCGGCCAACCCCCTTGAAGTGACGCGAGAGAGCGGAGGCCTTCTCGAGGCCGAATCGGATGTGCCTCGGCTGGGCTCGACACTCGTGAAGCGAATTGTCGGTCGTACTTCATCGAATCGTTTAATCCTTTTTTGCAAGCGTTCAACGCATTGGGTTTGATGAGGAACTCTGTCCTCTGCTGGCCGATCGTACATGACCTGCTATATTGTAATTGAAAGGGAACGAGCTCTGAGAGCCGAACCTTGGTGTGACGAAGGTTATATCCAACTCGCAGTTGTGCTTTCGCGCCCAAGTACTGCTTGAATCGGAGCCGATGTGTATATAGCTATGATGCCTTCATCGGTAGCAGCACCGAAAACGATGATATTCAGCAACTCGTGGCTGTGCTGGGCAAATCATGAGTCGTTGTTGCCTTTTTTATGTTGTTTACGCCATGCAAGGGTTTGGGAACGCGCTCGAGCGTTTTCGGATGAAGAATACCATTCCTGATGCCACTCTTGGGATCGCCACTGCTACCAGCGAGGACCATAAACTTCGCAACATGGTCGGGCATCTTCACGGCAGTATTACTTATATCTTCTGCTTGGACATGTCTCGACGTCTGAGGCGGAGAAACTGCGCAAAACCTGCCCGACGACGCCGTCGGTGGCTTGGATATGTTGCGCTTAGGGTACTCCCAAAACTTCTGCTTTTTGGCCCAATCCGTGGGCACATGTGACGAATACTGATTAGGACGCATGGCGTTGTGATGTGATGCGAGTCCTCGAGCTGCTTCCAATCGTACCACTACTCTGGAGATGGCACGTTGGCTGCGCGAGCGCTTGTCCCCAATTGGTTCACGAAATCGGTTTGGCCGATGTCGCGGCGTTGATGGCAACACGGTTCCTGACCCTGGACAAAGGAACGCGCATGAGGTTATGCCGGATGATGGGAAAGGCGAGTTCGCAGCAGAATGTGCACCCAATAACCCCCTCCCTCTGCTCCGGCAATGGCCTTGGGAGGAATGGAGGAAGGGAAGGAGGAGGGGCGAGGAGGAGGAGGGGGGAGGCGGAGGAGGAGAAAAGAAGAGGAAGAGAACGTACGGGAGGAAAGAGGGAGGAAGAGGAGGAGGAGGAGGAGGTGAGGAGGAGGAGGAGGAGGAGGAGGAGGAGGGGAAACGAACTGGAGGAAGACGGGGGGGATGGAAGCAAGGAGCAGGGGAGGGAGAGAGGGAGGGAGGGAGGGAGGGAGGGGGGGGAGGAGGAGGGGGAGAAGGACGAGGAGGAGGAGGAGGAGGAGGAGGAAGAAGAGGAGGAGGAGTGAAAGAAAGGGGGGGGATAGGAGGACGGAGGAGGAGGAAGAAAGAGGAAGGAGGAGATGGAGAACAGGAAAAAGGAAGGAGGAGGAGGACGAGGAGAAGGAGAGGGGGGAAAGTTCTGGCTAGGCGCAGCTGGCAGCACAAGCAGCTGCAGGCAGACATTGAGGGCCAAGATCAACAACAAGCTGCGAGACACAGCGCCGCCCCCAAACAAGAGGAGGCAAAGGCACGGGCGGTACTATGCCGCCCCGTCCCGTCGCCCACAACAACACAATGACCCCAGCCACTGACGCCGCACCTGGGAGGAACATCCTCTGTGTCATGAGAGAGGTGCACTGGCCTTGACCACAGACTGGCCACCAAAACGGACCCCTTAACACTCTGAACAGAGGCGCCCAGACATGGCGCGACCACAGGTAGCGCAAAAACAGCGGGCGCCCCTGGTCCACAAGCACTGGGACGCGTGGGGCATCTTGCCCATGTTCCCTCGGCCTGGGGCAAACGCACAGGAGGGTCGCTCATGCCGAGCCGGGCGAACAGGGCTCCATGTGTGGGCGGGAGTCGCCGATAGGCATCCGATAAAAGCCGCCACCACCACCCTCCGTCCCCCTGCCCCCCCCCCCCACGGGCAGGAGGAGGAGGAGGAGGAGGAGGAGGAGGAGGAGGAGGAGGAGGAGGAGGAGGGGAGGAGGAGGAGGGGGGGAGGAGGGGGAGGAGGAGGATGAGGAGGAGGAGGAGGAGGAGGAGGAGGTGGAGGAGCGAGGATGGTTGGAGGGGGAGGGGGAGGGGGATGGGGGAGGTGGGGGCCGAGGAGGAGGAGGAGGAGGAGGAGGAGGAGGAGGTCCTACGCCCCCTCCTCCAGCGGGAACCGCTTGGACTGGCAGCTCGGAAGGGGCGGCAGGGCAGGCCGCCCGGAGACCGCGGAGCGCGCACGAGCGGCGGCCTCACCGGCGCGCGGAGGGCGCAGCCGCGGCACTGCCGACCACCCGACGTTGGGCGTGGCTTAATGGGGGGGTCACAAATGGGGGGGTCAGAAAAGGTCCCCTTTCGTGCCCCTTTCGGGCCCCTCCGGAGCCCCAGGGGGCTCGTTTAGGTACCGTTTGGGTACCTTTTCGAATCACCCTCGCCACCCCCCCATTTATGATCCCCCATTGCGCAGCGCCCAACGACGGGGAGCGGAAATTGCGCCGGGAGCTGCCGACTCGCTGGGCCCGCCGCCCCTGTCGAGCCTGTCGATGCGGGCTCCAGGGCGCGCGCACCGCGCGCCATAGCCCTCAGTCGGTCGTCCTGTCAGGGAGGAGGGCGGGCCCGCCGCCCCGCCCTCCTGCCTGACGGGGGCACTCGGAGCAGAAGCGGCGCGGCCTCTGAAGCCAAGTCCAGCGTCCTCTGGCGCTCACCCTGGATCGGGTGCTGCTGGAAGTGCCCCTGGCCCAAGGCACCCCCAGGATTCTCGGGGTGGCCCAGGCGGCCTCCAGGGCACACCTCACGAGGCCCAGAGGGCCCCAGGGGCTCCAAAATGGAGCGAAAAGCTGGGGGCACCTTGGGCCAGGGGCACTTCTAGAACACCCGACTGTGGAATCTGATACTCTTCCGATCGGCTGCCGGTTCGGCCGTCAACGACAAAATTCACGAAGAGGGCTCCCGGAGGGACTCACGCACACAGGCGTTCGAGCTTCCGCCCATCATTAAACAACATGGGAAGTTACATGCTGCAGCTCGAATCCTCCCGTTCTCCCATGGAGCAAAGCGAGCAACTCATTCCATAAATCTGCATATTCCAAAACCAAAGCAGTGGGACGTCCCCCTGGCAAAAGCGCGAACATGATCGACATGGTCAGGGGGAGGAGGAGGGAGGGAGGAGAGGGGGGAGGGACAAACTAGGTGCGCTCGCGTCATATCTGACATCCTACCCCTCCCTCCCATTCCTTACCATGGCGTAGATGTCCTCTCTATTCGCACAGTCGGATGCCGTAGCAGGGCATAGCATTACATTGCATAGCATGGTGTTGAAGATCAACGCGTAGCCTGACATAGCATGGCGTGGCGACGCCCCAGAATTGCGGGGGCCTTCTGCGGCGACACCGAATGTGTAATTATTTCCTATGGTTTTTTCGGGGGGCCATTTTCTAGATTTGGGGGCCGATTTGGAAAGATCAAAAGCCATGCCGTGGCACGACGGTGGAAATATTGACGCCAGCGCTGCAGCGGAAGCACGATTCAGAACAAGCGGAAGCGCGGAAATGAGGCTAGTGCTGCAGCGGGAGCACGATTCGGAGGAAGTGTAGCCTGACATAGCATGGCGTGGCGAAGCCCCAAAATGGGGGGGGTGGCTTCTGCGGCCAAAAAAATAAACGAATCGGGGGCACCGAATGTGTAATCACTTCCGATGGCTCCTTCGAGGAACATTTTCTAGACTTTGGGGCTTATTTGGAAGGATCGAAAAGCATGCCGTGGCATGGCGCTGGAAATAATGGCACCAGCGCTCCAGCGGGAGCACGATTCGGAACGAGCGGAAACGCGGAACTGAGGCCAGCCTGCAGCGGGAGCGCCATTCGGAACGAGCGGTATCCCGAAAATGAAGCCAGCGCTTCAGCGAAAATAACATTTTGAAGAAGAAGATGAACAAATGAAGAAGAAAGAGAAAATATATAAACAAAAAACAAAACAAAAAAACAAGTCCCGGGAATCCTGTGTAAAAAAAAAACAATTAACCGGGGCGAGGGGGGCCCGAACCCCGTCCCCCCCCCCCGAACATTTCTCCGACCGTCGTCCCAGTGAGTATGAGAGGAGAGTGGTACTCAATGTGTGTAATTGTGTGAAGGTGGAGGGAGGAGGGGTGGAGGAGGGAAGAGGAGGAGGAGGAGAGGTAGGAAGGAGGAGGAGGGGAGGAGGGGAGGAGGAGGAGGAGGAGGAGGAACGATGGAGGAGGAGGGGAGGAAGGAAGGGTCTGGAAGGGGTAGGGAGGAGGAGGGGAGAGGAGGAGTAGGAGGAGTGAGGGGGGGAGGGAGAGGAGTAGGGGGCCGAGGAGGGTGTGGAGGGAGGGGTTGAGGTCGATGGGTGAGGGGGGTGGAGGGAGGGGGGAGGGAGGGTAGGGAGGGAGGGAGGAGGGAGGGAGGGAGGGAGGAAGGAGGAGGAGGAGGAGGGATGAGGAGGAGGAGGAGGGGGAGGTGCCCTCGGCCTGCTCGGGCAGGACGGCCGCACAGAGGAGCGGGCGCGGCAGCGCCATCGGCGTGCTGGTCGATGCTCCCAGGACCGGCCGCTGTGCCCAAGGCCCGAAGGGTGGCCACCTCCACCTCCACTTTCTCATCCTCCTCCTCCTCCTCTCTCCTCCTTCGCTTCCCACTTCCACTTTCTCCTCCTCCTCCTGCTCCTGCTCCTCCTCCTGCTCCTCCTCCTCCTCCTCCTCCTTCCCCTCCTCCTCCTCGTCCTCGACCTCGTCCTCCTCATTCTCATCCTGATCACCGTCCTCATCCTCATCCCCATCCTCACCCTCCTCGCTCATCATCATCATCATCGTCACCATCATCCCAACATTCAGCTACCTCATTCCCGTCGCCCACGCCATCGCCATCAACGTTATCATCAACGTGGTCAGCATCATCATCGGCATCTGCACCATCATCAGCAGCATCATCATCAGCATCAGCACCAGCATCATCACCATCACCATCATATTCGTCACCATCATGATCATCATCACCACCAGCATCATCATCAGCAGCAGCAGCATCATTATCATCAACCTCATCATCATATCCGTGGTTCCTCGGGCCCGCAGTGCCTGGCTGGAGACGATCTCCAGTCACCGGTAACCGTCACACCCACGCGGCAGAGTGCAGACACAACAGGGTGTGTCGGACCATCGGGCAGTGGTTGCGTCTGCAACGCGCGGCTGCGGCTCCCCGCCAGAGCCCACGGCATCGGGCGATCATGTGTATTCACACCACCGCGATCACAAATCATCATCTTGCTGCACCAGATCCGGCCCTTGCACAACGGCGGTGCAGGCGTCCACGCGCCTCTACATCCTCTTGGGCTCCGCGTTTCCCTCGAACGCTGGCGGCCCGTCGACAGGCAGTCCATGGGCTCGGCGTATCCACGTGGCGCCCTTTGTCCTCTTCCTCTTCCGCGAGCTCGCTGGGGTATGTTATTGAGTGGAGAAACCACCTCTGCCGCGGCAGCGTTGCGCACCTTCATCGCGGTCCTCTTGTACGTCAAAGTGGTGATCATCCCTGTTCTTTCGGTCAGGCTCGGCCCTACAACGAGAAGAACTGACCGCGCCTGAGTCTGGCGCCCCCACTGTGCCAGCAGCGTGGTGTGATATATATATATATATATAATACATATATATAGAGAGAGAGATATATATCGTGGCTTCTGGCACGCAGTCTCCAAGTTGGCACCAGCACCACGTGTCATATTGTTGTTTGTATCGCTGTGGTTCTTCGGGGTGTGTCCCATCGTGGGCATTTCATCCAGCAACGCTTCATCGGGGAGTGCGTCGTTGAGTGCATAATCGTGGAATGCTTCGCCGTGGCGTGCCTCATTGCGGCATGCTTCGCCGTGAGAGCTTCGTGGGAATGCTTCGACGTCGGGTACCTCAACCTCGCAGGCTGTTTGCGAAGTCCACAATTCTTCATCCTCACACGGGGGTTCTTGCAGTGTTCGTGGGGCTCTTCCTGGAGAAAGCTCGGGCAAGTCTTCATATCGGTGCTCGGGCCAATGCTGGTTTTGGAGTGCTCCACTCAAGGAAGTCTTCGTCGTGAGTCCAATGAGGTGTTCTCGGAGGTTTGCTTCATGGTGGTGCGTTGCACGGATACAGTCGTTCATCATCGAGGCGTGCTTCATCACCGAGGTGTGATTCGCGGAAGTGTGCTTCGAGGAGGTGCACTTCATTCTCCAAGCATGCTTCACCAAGGCGTGCTTCCTCATCCGAGGTGTGCGTCATGGAAATGTGAATCATTGGCGAGGCGCGCTTCAGCTTCGCGGGTGGCTGTGCATCCCGGCAGCTGGCTTCACCACAAGCGCGCTTCATCAGGGAGGCCCCGCTTCTCGGAGGCCTTCTTCATCATGGAGACGCGCTTCACGGAGGCGGACTTCATCGGCGTGTCCCTCCTTCCTTGGCTTCATCATGGAGATGTGCTTCACGGAGGCGATTGTCCCGGAGGTGTACTTCATTGTCCACGTGTGCGTCGCGGATGCGTGCTTCATCATCGAATGTGCTTTACGAAGGCCAGCTATATCATGGAGGCGCACTTCATCATCGAGGCGGACTTCCTCGAAGAGGCGTGCTTCATCGCAGTGTGTTTCACGGAGGCGTTCTTCACGGAGGCGTGCCTAGAGGAGGCGTGCTTCATGGCAGCGAGCTTCACCAAGGTGTGTTCCACGGAGGTAAGCGCCATCGAGGAGGCGTGCTTCACGGAGGCGCGCTTCGAGGCGCGGAGGCCTGCTTCATCATGGAGTCGTGCTTCCAAGAAGCGTGGTTCATCGGCGTGTCCATCCTTTCTTGGGAGATGACGTATGCAGGATCATCATCTCCATGGTTTCTCGGGCTCGTACTGCCTGGCTGGAGACGCTCACCGGTGGCCGTCATACCCGCGCGGCGGAGTGCAGACACAACAGGGTGTGTCGGACCATCGGGCAGTGGTTGCGTCTGCAACGCGCGGTTGCGGCTCCCCGCCAGAGCCCACGGCATCGGGTGATCATGTGTATTCACACCACTGCGACCACAAATAATAATAATAATAATAATCATCATCATCATCATCAGCAGCAGCAGCAGCATCAGCATCATCATCAGCATCATCATCATCATCGCCATCAGCATCATCATAATCATCATCATCAGCAGCATCATCAGCAGCATCGTCATAATCATCATTAGCAGCATCATCATCAGCAGCATCATCATCAGCATCATCATCAGCATCATGATCCTCAGCATCAGCATCATCATAATCCTCATCATCATCATCATCATCATCATCATCATCATCATCATCATCATCATCGTCATCGTCATCGTCATCGTCGTCATCATCATCATCGTCATCGTCATCGTCATCGTTATCGTTATCGTCATCAGCAGCAGCAGGAGCATGATCAAAAGCATAAGCATCGTCATGTGAAACCGCAGTCTCGTCATCATCATCCGCCCACTCATCATCCTCCAACTCGTCCTCATCATCAGCATCACCCTCATCACCATCATCATCACCATCATCAGATGCATCACTAACATCAACAACATCCTTGTAAAGGCTGTTCGCTCTTACCTACTAGCGGGCCATTCCACACGCATCTCCCAAACCCTCGATGCCCGCCCTCTTCGTCTTCGATCGTACCCCGTTGGGATATATCCTCCTTGCCTGCCACACGTCATTGGCGCAACCCCTAAAGCAGGGGAAGAGAGGACTGATGGAAGAGGGAGGGAGAGGGACGGAGCACTGGAGAGATTAGCAGGAGGAGGCCTAGGAGCAGAGAACACGTAGCAGAACCAGACGGGCTGATCGGGCGGGTAGCTCCTAACGGGCGGGTCGGGAGGGTGAGCCCAAACGGCCAGGTCGAGCAGGCGGGCTGCTGAAGCGTGAGTACTGGGTGAATCCCGAGGAAGTCTCGAGCGATAGCGCGAATCCAAAGTAAATCGGAAGAAAAGCCAGAGCGAGAACGCGATTCCTGAGCGTCGAAGGCGCGGCATCTGAATAAAGTGCGAGGAAGTCCCTCGCGAGAACGCGATTCCTGAATGAAGTGTGAGGAAATCCTGCGCGAGAACGCGATTTCGGAATACATGGTGAGGAAGTCTCTGGCGGGAGCCGCTGTTGTTGCAAACCAGTGGCCAACAACCCGATATGTGCCCCAAGACTTCCCTTTGTACAAAAGAAGGTGCGACCCCCGGGAGGAGCACTTTAATTGAAAAGCACAATGGGCACAGAAGGATGGGGATCAGCAATAATCCCACTAGCCCTCAGGGCGTAGGTGGTTTAACGAACTTTGTCTTCTCTCTCTCTCTCTTTCTGTCTTTTTCTCTCTCTCTCTCTCTCTCTCTCTCTCTCTCTCTGTCAAAACCCTCCTTCCCCTGTTCGGGGGAGGGGGTTATCGCTGTTCCTTTTTGTATACACCCCCTCCCCCACCCGGACGGCGGCCAACCAGGACTCCACCATCCCTTTCAAAAAGCCATACAAACCGCACTCTGCCTCCACATTTGGAGCATGCGCGGCCAACCCGATGCGGCCCCCCAACCACCCCTGTCAAAAAAACAATGCAATATATACTTTGGGACAAAGTCTTGCGTCATGTTCGTGAGGCCCGCGAGCAGTTTGTACTGTTGTTGGTGGGGACGGCGGGGGTGCCAGCAGATTCCCTGCTGCGCGCATGGCTACCATCCCTGACAAAAACAAGACAACATGCACCTCGCGGCGAAATCTGGATCATGCGCGGCCATCCCGCGATCACTGTCGAATGGTTTTTGAGAGGGACGGCGGGGGTGGTGGCGCGTGGCCTGCTGTGCGCAGACCCACCAGACACAATGATGGGCATTGGTTTTCGACAAGGATGGCGGGGGTCGACATGTTTCGGGATGTGTGCTGTCACGTACGCAGGCGCACCTGACGCACTCTGCACGTGCCCCGGACATGGCGCGCCTGGCGCGGCTGGAGTGTGCGGCACACCTGGCGCACTCGGAGCACGTGGCGCATCTGGCGCACCAGGCGCGCCTGGCACGCTTGGGCCCCAGGGGTGCCTGGCGCGCGTGGCGCCCCTGGCACGCGTGGCGCACCTCGCCCAAGCGTCGCGCACCTGGGGTCGGCTTTGGTTCCCAGTAGCTGTCCATCCAACGACGACCGCTTAACATGCTTAGGCCAGGGTGTTACTTCTGTGTTGGGAGGGCGGGTGGGAGTGAGCTAGACGGCTTGCGGGCGAGTGGTTAGCTAGACCCCTCCCCCTACTCCGGCCCCCAGAGGGCCTCAGAGAGCCCAAGATGGCATCCAAGATGGCTCAAGATACCTCAAGATGGTTCCAGATGGCCTCCGACACACATCCAAGAAGCCTCAAGACAGCCCCAAGACAGTTTCAAGTACCCTCCCAGCCATCCCAGGACCCCCCGGAGATGCCAAAATGGCTCCAAAACCGAGGGAGCATCCATGTTGTTTGCCTCCTCGCCTTGCCGCTTCCAAAGGGATCATGAGACCTCAGGATGGCCCCAGGACGGCCCAAGAAAGCCCCAAGAGGGGCCCGAGAGGGTCCCAAGAGGGCCCCAAGCGC